GATTACTTAATGACCTCAGATTAAAGACACCTGTTGGTAGCAGCAACCATAATATGATTTAACTTACCCCACTACACTATACACACACACACACACACACACACTCTCTCTCTCCAAACACCCCCCCCCCCCCCCCCAACCACACACACACACACACACACCAAATATGCATTGTCGGACCTAAAATGTCACCTTTTTTTTAACACTGATTAAAACCTTTAGTTCTCTCAGGATCATGACTTGAAAGGAATTCAGGATTTACATTTACGTATTCATCAATTAAAACTTTCTAACAGATTAAAGATTTAACAACATCTTAGGTTTGTTTAGTACACCCTCATCAATGGCGTAACCTTTAATCTTTTATTTATAAATTCTGTGTCTGATACTATCTCTCTCACTAACACCTGAAGAAGCACTGAGGCTCCGAAAGCTTGTGTTTTCAAACAAACCTGTTGGACTATAACCTGGTGTGGTGTGATTTCTGACCTTGTCCACCCCACTCCAACACTGGCACCTCCACATCTTAAATAAAAGCAAGTATGTGGACATGAAACCTGATCTAGCTGAAGTGAACCAGGATATTAGATGAGGAAATGCAATGACTGATACGCAAAAGGCCATTTTAGAATAAATGAGGAGTCTGCTGTTTGTTTATTCAGGACACTCATTTTAAGTACATGCTTACTGTAAAAAAAAGTCCAAGGAGAAGATTCACCATTCATAGTTAACTAAAGAAGGAAAACATAAAATTGGTGGAAAAAAAAGCATGTAATTGTGGCAAAATGAGTGGCAGGTCAGGTGACTGGTCAGAATACAAAGAATGGCAGACAATGATTAAAAGGTTAATCAGGACAAATAAAATAAGAGAATGAAAGGAAACTAGCCAGAAAGGAATTTAAAAATAGAAAGCAAAAGATTATACACGTATTTCAAAAGGTAAAAAGTAAGTGGAATGAGTGTTGGCCCTCCAAAGGATGAAAATAGGCAGTTAATAACTTTTATCTTCACTATAGAGGATATAAATAATAATTCCAATAATACCTGTAAACCCAAAGGCTGTTCAAAAGAGAAAACAGGTGAAATTCTAACCATTAGGGAAGTGGTACTCAGCAAACTGATAGAGCTGCAGATTAAGTGAGTTTAATTTTGATCACATACCTAGAACTTTTGACCATCCCACAACTATGGTAAATTCTTAATACATCTTTTATTATAATTCTTCACTTGCTGCTTAATGTAAGACGTATCTTTGTCTTGAATTCTCTGATAATCTTTGGTTGTGCATTATGAAAATGGTTTCCCAGGTAGAATAAGTAAATGAGTTTGGAGTTTTTTTTTTCCCAGTCAATTATTTAGAAGACAATATTGTAAAGGAGTGGGTCTTTGGTTAAACAGTGTTATTTGAAAATCTTCATTCTTTTTCAAAAGTGACTTACTTGATCAATCTGACTCCATGTTCAAGTCTACCATTGGACTAGGGAAATCTTGGCAAAGCTGTAATATGTTTGAATCTTTACATTCTGCAAAGGACTTGAAACATTCACTTCCAAATTATGTTCTGTTGTTAGAAACACCTTGATCTGGAATTCCATGTACAATATTACAAAGATCTCTTTCAACACTCAGCATCTGTTCTTTAGTCAGAGAATTTTTTTTTAAACTTTGATCTAACTTGAGGAGTAGTTGATGATAATAAAACAAAATATACCATTGGAAATAAATCATTCCATTCCTAGCCTTTCCTATTATCTAGTTGGAAATTTAATTGGTAACAATGGTTCTTTCTGTTCTAGCTAGTGCATTGTTCATATTTGGCAATTAGAATTTATTTTAATATCCTTTAAAATGTTGGCCTCCACACAGGTGGCTGAGATCTTTCTCTACATTTGGTAATGCCCATGTGTTTCTTAAAAATGCCTTCTTTGAATAAAGTTGGAATAACTAATATCTTCTTGTAGACTAATGCCTCATAGTGAAGTATTTTCTATGTTCAATGTGTGTTTTCATGACAATGCCATTAGCTCACTGATTTGGCCAACCCTCCATACAATATTGACAGATTTTGATACATTCCTAGACTGCATCTGGTCCTGACAAATCTGGTTGGGTCTATTCTGATTTGCTGGCCATTGCACTGAAAGACTAAGTGAGAGTGTGACTCAATTTCTTCAGTAAAATTAAGATCTCATCAATAGTTGGTCTAGAGAATACATCTGCTGTTGTTTGCAGTTTACTTTCTACATAAACTGTTTCATAAGCAAGTCTCATCAGCCTCAATCAAAATCTTGCCGTCTAGCGAGTTTCTTCTCATTGAGTTGGGAAACTAATGGTTGATGACCTGTCTCAATAACCATTTTCAGAGTGATGATGTAGTCTGAGAATTTAACACAAGCCCATGTAACTGAGAAAGTTTCTTTCTCAATAACTGCTTTTTCATCTTTCTGTCTGATAGTGCTCGAGATACCTAAGAAACAGGACTTTGATAACCAGGAGATAGCAAGAACCTACAGATGCTGGAGTCAGAGTGGACCTGGAGGAACACAGCAGGTCTGGGCCCGAAACGTCAACTTTCCCACCCCTATGAAGCTGCCTGACCTGCTGTGTTCCTCCAGCTCCAACATTTTGATAACCATCTGGCTGTTCCTGAAAAAGTACTACTCTTAACCAGTTGAAGTATGTATTTCTGTAATACATCATTACTGCCGATAGTAATGTGCCAAGATGTTTTTGGGAATTAACATTTTCCAAATCATCTGAAAGGCCTATTTCTCATGAAGATTCAGAACCATGCTGGATCTTTCTATAGAAGTTGCCTCAAATGTGTATTGCTGGTTGCTAAATGTTGTAAAAATGTTGCAATCTGATTGAGCATTCTATTTCCATCCTCCTCAACCCTTCCAGGTGACTTTCGTTGGTAACTGTGATATTTTTCTAAGCACATGAAGACATATAGGTTTAGCATCTTTTCTCAAGGTGATACTGTATCCAGTATTCCGTCTTCTTACATCATTGAACAGTTTTCAAATTGACTCTTAAACCTCTGATTAACAAATATCTTTGACTTTCTGAATAAGATTCAAGCTGGAACAAGTTCTTCTGCTCATGTGCGAAAGTTCTTGATGATATAATAATAATGAAAGTTTTATTATTTTAAATGTTCGTGGGCAAAATGGTCTGATGAGGATCATTGATCTCACTAAGGAAGGCTTTCAGTTTATCTTAAGATGTCTTCACACTCTTCCAGATATTAACCTTTCAGAGCTAGATTCAGTAGCAGCCTTCAAATTCACCCATGCTGGTCTTTCCTAGCAGTTTTAATATTGCTTTGGCTTTTGATAGGGAGCCTGTAAAGTATTTCTATGCTCAGCAACTGAGGAGCAACAAATTATTTCAGACAGTTCTCATCTCCACACACACTCTGTGAACACATCACATGAGAAAGAACTTTCTAAAACAGCCAAAAGCTCTCCCAATAGCATAATGGAACCCTAAAATAACTGATCTTTTTAGAGGAGAATATTCTTTTAAATATCACAAACTTTTAAAAGTGGATCATATTTCATTGCTGCACCCATATTAACATTTTCAAATTATGCCTCCATTTGGTTCAACAAGGGGCACCAGTTGACCATCAAACCCAAAATGGCATCAAAATCAATTACGGCACCATTCCAGAGTGCAACACTGTGTGGCTAAATTTGACTTTGTGGTGGCTATTTTGGTCAAGGAAAGTGCAAAAAGTATTGAAGCTTTTAGCCACTTCTCTGAACAATGATTAAAAACTAACTTAATGACTAACCTTCCTCAGCCTGTGTCCTGACAATTAAACAAACAATATATACTGACAACTACTTGGAAATATATAATATGTTATGTGAATGCAGGACATGCATTGTAAGTCATTCAAGGATAGGCCATCAAAGGTAGGGCTACAGGAGATGGATATCTAAAGATCAGAGATAGAACAACAAAGAGGTTTGTGAAAGGGGCTGGAACTGAGAGGAGTGAAGAGATTATGGGAGATGGAGGAACAGTGATAAGGTCATTTATTCATTTAAACCATATGATGAGAATTCTAAGACAGTGGGAACTGTAAGCCCTGTCGGTCTACAGTGTACAGGTGATAGTCGAGCAGGTTTGCAAAATAAGATAGGGCAGCGTAATTTTGAATGAGCGATTGTTTACAGAGGAATGAAGATTATATATTGGTCAGGAATGATTGAATCTGGAGCTGGGAAAGGAGTGAATGAAATTTTGAGCAGAATATCGGTTAATTTGGATCCAAGGCGGGTAATGTTATGCAGGTGGAAATAATTTTTTTGTGTGTCAATAAGAGGTTGGATGTTCAGCTCAGGATTGAGTAAAGATGAAGTTGCAAATAGTCTGGTTCATTCGCCTTTGTGAGCTATTATTGTGAAATAATTAACTGCTGCAATACATGCTGATACTAGATGCAAAGATAGATTGTTTATTCCCTTGCACTCTCATCTTTCACATTGATAAGCAGAAAATTACTATTCTGCTTTAACCCTGATCTTAATAACTATGAAGCAGAAGGAAATATTAACCCTTTGAGTATTATATTTCCTTCACAGCTTTGAAACATGAAATGTTCTAACATCTGCAAAGGTGATTTCCTGCTTGTTTAAGCTGTGGAGTGTTAGACAGTAAATTAAATGAATGTACAAAACCTGAAGTTATAATTTAAGGTGCATTACTCTGAGTTAAATGCAAAATGTACATATTTATGTGGTCTATCTATACGAAGAAAAGAGAGCCAAACTGTGAAATTCATATATTGGCTATATTAAAGAGTGTACTTTCAAAAAATTTGTATAACTTTTCTCTCTCCATTATTTAACCATTTTATTTAGAGGTTTAATAGCACATCAGAAATACGAGTTAAAAAAGAATGTCATATGAACGCAGATATCAAAACAGGAATGAACAGCCTACAATATTAGCATTATTTTATAAACCATTAAAACTATGTTGCGTTCTGTAATATGATTTAATTCACAGCTAATGTTTTGTTCTCTATGTCAGGAAAGTGAAGGTGATGGAAAATAAGTATTCTGCAACTTTTGTGCACACCCTCACAGCAACAGTATAAAGATATAGCTTGAACACCAAATAATTCAGCTATGAACAGCTAATGATAAACATTTGGTAAGATCTGCATTACATTGGATCAAACAAAAGCAATTATAGACGGATATTACTACTTCTCTCAATATATTGTTTTGTAATGTGCTAATATTCCCTAAATTGTATCATTTTGTAGATAGAAAAGACACTGGATCAAATTTATTCTAGCCAGAAGAATGTGACACTTGGATGCCTGGTGTCTTTGGAGGTGGCCTAGTCTGTCTGAGGGCTGGACTGATTAATATTCAGATGGGTAAAGCTGGAGCGTCCTGAAGCAGGCCACCAGCTGTGAGTCAACACCAGAATAATGTGGGTCCATGGGAGGCTTTGAATGTTATTGTTGAGGGAATGGCTTTCAGTGTGGACATGCAGTGCACGTCTGAAGAACATTGTTATGGTCACATCAATGGCAGCTATTGGCCATAGGTCATTACCTACTATTTCAGATGAGCTATCATGCCAATTCCACCAGATGTGAGGGCTTAATATTTATCTCCATAACTTAGAAAGTGTTCACCAATACCTTTAGTTGCTAATAGTTGCTCCATGCTTTGGGAGCAGAAAAATTCAATTGTCTTGATGTTAACTGGGATAAGCTCTTTAAGTTATGAGCTCCTTCCCTCGTTAATCTTCTGGTTTGGGGTTTGTATGTATTGTTTGAATTGCTTATTGGGCTGACTTTTTTCACCTCTTTATACGTAAATATATTTCTTGAATTTGGATTAACATCACAATCTCCTAGTATGCACATTAGCTTTAGCCATAACATTTTTTTTAACACAATCAGCTTCATCTCTAAGTGTTGAATGCCTTTGCCTGGAATTGTTGTGCTATATTTTCATCGAAATTGTGAAGGCAGAGCAAGTGCAGCTGGTGGAAAAAACAGGGCTGAAATTTGGCTATCAACTGTGTTGTCTGCATTATAACTTAGCTACTCAGGCTGGGCTCCAAAGCCTTATTTTGAGACTTTCTTTTTAAATCCTTCAAAGTGATTATCATCGGTCTCTGCTGGTCAATGACAATTAGTGATGTTGAAACAGAGCCCATGAACCCATTGGTCTATTTATATTTCATTGCAGCAAAACTGGCTCAAGCAGTGTGCAAGCTACTATTCCAAAACCATCTTCTTTTGATTTAAAATCATCTTAGATGCTATGTTATTGAATATACACGATGTTTCCTGGTGACAAACTAGATCAGTGAATAAAACACAGTAATTAGCACATCAAGGTTCAAGTTGAAAATTCAATAGTTTTTCACATCTTACGTAGTTAATTTGAAAGGGTTCTTTTTCCAATGCATTCACGCTCTGAAGAAGGGTCACTGGAAACAAAACATTAACTCCGCTTTCTTTCCACAGACTTTTTCCCAGCAATTTCTGTCTTTGTTTCCGATTTCCAGCATCCACAGTTTTTGTTTCTTTTTTGTTTCTCAATTGCATTATTTGTTTATATCTAAAATTTGAATGCAGAGTCTTTTATTACTGATCAACATTGTGTCACTATACATCAAACAGTATACCTCTGATTCTCATCCAACATTTAGTATTTACTTCAGAAGAGTGCAAAGTGAATGCTAAACTTGCAGTAACGTCACAAGACAGATGACTGTGAAAGCTAGAATAAATGAGTTTTATTTTGTTAAAGTTTGTTGGTTTTGTTTCTGATAATCCATATTGCAACCTCTATCCTAATAAGATTGGAATGGGAATAATATACTGGAATAACATTAGTGTTTTTGTATATCATTAATTTTTCATTCATTATTAACTCCTGTTTCTGTGAACTCCATATTCTGTCCTATCTAATCCTTTTGCATTATTGGTGCAGTTCATCAACTCTGTTATCACCATTTCCTCCCTTGATTCTTAAATTCTCCCAGATCAGTCCTTCTCCATCTCCTTGTGTTATTCTAAAGTTTGTCAGCACAGGATTTGTGTTACCAATACAAATACCTTCAAACTGCTGCACAAAGGCTCCTAAAGGGATTGAACTAACGTATGCAGTTATGGATTGAATCACTCTGTACAAATAAGGATTTTTTGGCAGTATTTGTGTGTGAATCATGCATCATTAAGAGGGAGCTGAGAGATTATGGACCAGTAAACTGACTGTAGGCGAAGTCATCTGAGAGAATCTAACATTTAACAGTGCAAATTTAACAGCTTACAATTGGAAATGAACTGCTTAACATTGATTAATCAACAGAGCATAGAATGCTGTAGAGTATGATATGGGAAAACAATTGCAAGACAACAGAGAATCACGTTTCTAAAAGCAAGAGCTTGCTAAAATAATTCAAATAAATAACTGTTGTTTCTTAAACTTACTTCGTTGTGAAGGCAGCTTATACCATTCTTCTGAAAGTTACTGTCTAGTGAAAGTGGGGAATGCAAGGAATTAGATAGAGTGCTACGTTCATTGAAATACATCTCAACACAATAACATAAATATTGCTAAACACAGCCATGTAAATTTCCATGCGTAATTAGTAAGTCTTTAATATCTGTTTCCAATTACTCTGTTGCAGTGCAAACACCGTACTTGTAGCAGAGATAGAGATAGCTGCTCATTCCCCTACTGTTACAGATCAAATGCCCTTAACTGGCATATCTTGGGTTTTCACGATCAAGCGGGCTCCACCGAAGGCCTTCCTGCTGCTGCTGTTCAGGGACAGACCGAGTCTTGGGCAGGGAGCATGAGACATGGCTGTGTCTAGAGGGGTTAAAAAGATGAGAAATATGAACACCTTGAGAAGAGAATCCACTGTGATATGCCCTTTCTCCATCTCCTCTTTCATGATCCACGTACTGTTTCCTGCTAGCCAAGAACTGGAGAGTGACTTGGTTGCATGCCAGTGAAGTTTTCCTCTATTCTGCGTAAAGTGACAGACAGACAGGCCATTTGTCTGGGCCAGCATACACTTAATTGACTGTTGTATCACTTGTGCCATGGACATCAGCAGTTTAATAGGTTCTTTCATGCAATGTGTGCATCACTGGCAAGGCCAGCATTTGTTGCTTATCACAAATTAGCTTTGAACTGACTTGCTCACTAGACCATTTCAGATGAAAATGAACAATCAACCACATTGCTGTGGGTTTGGAATCAAATGTAACCTAGACCTGGTGAGGATGGCAGGTGTCCTTATCTGAAGGACATTACTGAACCAGATGGACTCTTCCAACACTATCAGTTTCACAGCCACCGTTACTGAGGCTAGCTTTCATTTCTAGATTTCGTATTTGAATTTAAATTGCACCAGCTGTCACAGTGGGGTTTGAATCCATATTCCCAGAGCACGTAGCCTGAGCCTCTCAATTACTAGTCCAGTCACATCAACACTCCAGCACCATCTTCCCTCATCAGTGCTAATGCCTGACACTCTGTGGAATTTATTCTGGAGTGGGACTCCTCCGAATCTCTCCAAGGGTGCACACTACCTCTGGGAATGCTGACAGAAGTGCACACATTTCCCGTTGCTTAGCCAAAATTTTTCTCTATGCGGTGGATGGCTTCTGAGGCTCAGCATTTTGGCAGAGCTGAGCAGAACTTGGAGTGTTCTGCGCCTTCTGATAGGGATTTTCCAATACTGTTACCATCTGAAGAACATGCTCCTCCTCAGGTGTGCTGTGTGCCTCTCTACATCACAGCCAAGCTGTCTGTACCACAGGACCACTGAGCTGAGCTGTGTCTATCGAAACTGGAGGAGGGTGCCCAAGAGTGATGTGATGGCACTCTCTGAGAACTCAACCTCCTCCCACAGCAGCTCTGCTCTATCACCCTGGAAGGACATGTGGAAGGTCAAAGACATGACTTAGTGTTGACATGGGGAAAGAGTTCAAACATAACATAATGAGTATCATTGCATTTCAAACAGTAACAACATCAATCAAACATGAGCGACTGTTAAATACTAAGTGCCAGTGCAATATTTAATGATATAACCCAATACGGTTGGCCTCTTATGTCTCTCTGTCACCAACATCTGATGCCTGTGCGACCCTTTTGATCTTTTGAATTTCTGCTTTCACTGTTGTCATGGTAACAAATTTTGCAGGGGTGTACCCACTTCCCTGTCTTTCCTTGCTTCCATTATGACCCATGCAGGCAGATTTCTTTCAATAGAGATTTTTCACACACCATGGCTACAGTCATGTTTGGGAAACCTGGAAGCAGCATGTTATTGCTGTGTCTGAGTTCTAAAGCCCACTGACAGAATAATGGGATCTCAACCCACAGCAGACGTCCCATTTGCCCCTTTTCAGCTAAAATGTAAACTGTAAATTGTTGCTGTTTTGTATCATCTGCAGTAGTATTTTGTGGGAAGTTTACAGCAGTTGGGTATTCAGATTAATCTGAAGAATTTTGTTTTACAACCAGTGCAGGAATCACTTCAGGGCTTTCTGAAGTCCTTTAATCTATGGGATTATTGAGTCTGCTTGAAGTGTCATTGTGGGTCACATCACACAGTTCAAAATTCAATTCTCTGGATGATCCTTCTCGTAAATCAAAGTTGCAGAAAATTTTATATTTTTTCTCACTAATCTTAAATGCCAATATTCAGCGGATCCTCTTCTATTTCTTTAAATTCCTTTTGGGGAAGCTGTTTCATGCAGGTGACAATTGTTAAGTTTGAACCCTGCGATTTTGAAAACTGCACTTGTTTGTGAGTGCACTCATTTGTGGAAATAGCCCTTTGATTTCAACTGCGATTCAATTTATTTGTAGTGGTGACAACTGGGAGAAACAATATTAGCTAGACTGCAGAAGCTTAGAGTTTGCCTTTCAGCAGTGCCCCAGGATTAGAAAAGTCCACCTGAAACACTGGGGTAGGCAGACAGGGTCTCCAGAACACAGTGAAGTGATTGTCACTTAAGTGCTCAAGTTATGGAGTGGCCCTCGAACCCACAACCTTCCGATTCAGGGAAAAGAGTACCACCAACTGAGCCAAGCTGACATTGATAGCATGTGTATTTAGCATACTTAAAATACAGATAATGTCATTGTGACTTATATTCATTTGAGTCACCCCAGTAATAGCTGGTTTAATTGGCATTTACTCATCATGTGATAATGTAGTCCAGCTGGGTATAATTCATTGCAGAAAATAATTACAGTAATTATGTTAAGTGTGGCATTACTGCACGTGGAAACACACCACTGCATGCACTGTGCATATGGCAACATTACCACACACAAGATAATTCTAGCTGCATCTTTGCAGGGTACTAATTTGGCTACCATCCGTTTAAACCAGTTCTGCTTCACATCAACAGGGCTGACAGTTTAGAACAAAAATTCCAGAATAAAAACAAGTCTTTATACATAAAATTCTTGCACCAACCAAGTATCTGTTAATTTTAGAATTGTCTGTGCAGACGCATTTCACTTCTCTTTCATTGTTTCAGACTCATTCTAAAACCCAACTCTTACTTTTGGGGATCTCTTCCAATTTGTTTTTGTCTAGATTTTTTTTTCCTTCTCATTCCTTTTCAAAGTGCCTTTGCCAATTTTGGGATATATAAATGCTAGTTGTTGTCATGTTTGAGATAATCCCGTTTGTAGGTGTCTCATTTTGTCACATGTCCACAAACAATGTCATACTTACTGTTGTTTGGCTGCAATATTTTACTCGAGGAAATAATGAATCACAACAACACTAGAAGCTGGAATTAAAATTATGGAGCACGCGCACCAATTGAGAGCTAACAATCAGCAAATATTAATAAAACAATCACAAACGAGAAGAAAAGCTAATTAAATCACTCAAGTTTTTTTTTCCAACTGCCTTTACAGATTATCTTTGTTTGTTAATAAATTGAGAACATATAGAACAACTTGTATAAAAAGCGGGTAATTAACATCTCCCCAGTATATTACCCACATTGGAGTTGTGAGAAGCTGATCAGTCATGATTTTAACAAAGCCCAAAGTCAGCTCATGTCCCTTTTGTAGAGTCAAACAGCACGGAAACAGACCCTTCAGTCCATCCAGTCCACACTGACCACGTTCCCAAACTGACCACGTTCCCAAACTAAACTAGTCCCACTTGCCTGCCTTTGACCCATATCCTTCCAAGCTTTTCCGATTCATGAACTTATCCAAATGTCTTTTAAATGTTGTACCTGCTTCCACCACTTTCTTTGGCAGTTCATTCCATACGTGAACCTCTGTGTAAGAAAGTTGCTCCTCATGTCCTTTTTAAATCTTTCTCCTCTCACCTTATAAATAAGCCCCCTAGTTTTGAACTCCCCCACCCTGGAGAAAAGATCCTTACTATTAACCTTATCTATGCCCCTCATGATTTTATAAACCTTAATAAGTTCACTCCTCAGTCTCTTTTGCTCTAGTGAAAAAAAAAGTCTCAGTCTTTCCAGTCTATTTTTATATCTCAAACCCTCCATTCCAGGCAATATCCTGGTAAATCCTTTCTGAATTATCTCCAGTTTAATAATATCCTTCCTATAGCAGGGTGACCAGAACTGCACACAGTACTCCAGAAGAGGCCACACCAACATCCTGTACAACCTCAACATGATGCCCCAACTCCTATACGCACAGATGTTGCCTCCCTATCATGGCACTAGCATCTGAAAAGCTTGTGCGAGAAGCTTCGCTGCATTTTTATCAGGTGACGATAGAGACAAAGAGGATCAGGGTTAGAAGAAGTCCATTTATTTTTACTTGCATTGTGGGATCAAAAAAAGCAGCGGAGATTCGTGGACCTGACGAGGAAAGCGGAGGCCTTTTTTCCTGTTGATTTACTCCACCATCCTGATCGTGAAAGCTCTATAAGTTGATCCCAACAGATGACCATTCCAACACCACGACCCCCTCGCAGTAACCTGATAGACCCTGCGCTACATGATTTTTCAATGCTCCCTGCAGATGTCTCACTAACATCATCATGTCACTGAAATCATCAGAATCACAAGCCTGTAAGGGCCATACAGTCCCCAGCCAGGATCCTGGCCAAAAAATGCCTAGCTAAGTAGTTTAGTTCATTCACAAAGTTTTTGTTTGTGGAACAAGAGGAGCAGGAATGCTTCCCGGATCACAGACCTACCCTATCTTTAATTCCTCCAAAATCCTTATATACTTTGGAGGAGTCTAGTTGCATCAGTCACACACACCCACCAGAACTTCCCTCAGTTTTCCATTTCTTTTTCTTGTTTAGATATCATTCCCATTGACTTTGTGCAGGAGACAGCTAACATGGCCAAACAGCTCAAAGGTACTGGCAGTCACACTTTGGATATTGGATGCTTTGCCAGTCACTTCAGCCCTGTACACTTTTGTCATGGTTTGAGAATTGCATTGAGCAATTTGTCCACTTCAGGCCTACCATACCCAACAACCCAAGGAGAATAAAGGCATCAATTGTTTTAACAGCACATGCAGCAGACCTACATGAATGCTTCTTACTAAATCTTTGCATTCTTCCCTGAAGCAGTTCGCAGCTCTAGAGATAATCAGTCGCATTCTGAGAAAATAAGAATGTATAATCAGGAGTAGGCCACTCAGCCCCTTGATCCTGCTCCACCATTCAATAAGTTCATGGCTGAACTGTGACCTAATTTCATATGCTTGCTTTGGGCCCATATCCTTCGATATTCTTGTTTAACGAAAATTTGCCTTTCTCAGATTTAAATTTAACCATTGATTTAGCATTGACTGCTGTTTGGGGAAGAGTGTTGCAATCCTTTACTACT